AAACATGCGCTTGGCTCGGATCGTTTTAAATTCTTAGTTTGGGCTCCCCGCCCGCCTGCCGCTCCCGCCCCGCGGTTTCCTTTTTTCTTTTTCTTTTTCCCCCTCCCGATCTCCTTTTTGACTCCCTTCCCCTTTATGCTCGCCCAGCCCTCTCCCCGCCGCTGAGAAGTGGGGGAGGGCCTCGGCCTCCAGGTTCCCGCCCCATCGGGGCCCGGGCGAGCATGGGGGGCAAGCAGAGCACGGCGGCCCGGTCCCGGGGGCCCTTCCCGGGCGTCTCCACGGATGACAGCGCCGTGCCCCCGCCGGGAGGGGCGCCCCACTTTGGGCACTACCGGGCGGGCGGCGGGGCCATGGGGCTGCGCAGCCGCTCGGTCAGCTCGGTGGCGGGCATGGGCATGGACCCCAGCACGGCCGGAGGGGTGCCCTTTGGCCTCTACACCCCCGCCTCTCGTGGGACCGGCGACTCGGAGCGGGCGCCCAGCGGCGGAGGGTCCGCATCGGACGGATCCACCTATGCCCAAGGCAATGGTTACCAGGAGACCGGCGGCGGTCACCATAGAGACGGGATGCTGTACCTGGGCTCCCGAGCCTCGCTGGCGGATGCTCTACCTCTGCACATCGCACCCAGGTGGTTCAGCTCGCACAGCGGTGAGTCCGCGGGTGGTGGAGGGGGCCCCGGAGGGTGGAGTGCAAGGAAGGGCGTGCTGGGGCGCCCCAAACCTGGGCGCGCGTGCGAACGTGTGGACGGAGAGTGCACGGCCAGAGTCTGTCTGCTGTCCCCTGGGTTCCCGAAGCCAAGGGACCGATTGGATACCGAACCTTTAGAAAGGAGGGAGGTTTTCTGTGAGGCCGTGGAGCCGGGCGTTTTAGGACTTGACCCACTTGTGGATGGGCAGAGTGAATGAAACCTGCCTATTGGAATCCCTCTTACCGGCATCACCGTCCTCAGAGAAGAGGTCTGGCCTGACTTAGGGCAAGTCAGCCCCGGGGCTTTCCTTCTGTAACTGCAGCGTTGGGCCTCCCTCACCCTTACCAGACAGACAGGTCCAGTTTGACCAAGTGGCGTCTCCCAAACAAAGAGTGTGAAGAGAAATAAAATCGGAGCCAAGTGGTGGTTGGATTAGGGCGCTCACTCTCTAGCTGGAACAGAGGGCTGTTGAATTTTGCCCCCCGGCTGGAGGTCTGTTTGAATTGTTTAAAATGGAGCAGCTAGCAGGCTGTTGGCGTAGACAGGTGTGGCCTGCTGAATGGAGGCCCAGCCAGGGAGCCTCCCTCCCTCCCAGGCTTTGCAGGACCAGGGCTCTGGTTCCCGTGCTGCATGCAGTAGGCTTGGCTCAGTGACTCTCCCATCCCTTCCCATCTTCCTTTCTTCCCCTCCATGCTAAGTGCTTGGTCTTCCAGATCATCTGCATCCTCTTGGAACAGAGAGGTGAGATTTTATTGCCAGGCTGTGGGTGCATGACAGGGGAAGAGGAAGATCCAGAGAATCTGGATGAATTCGCGATGTGAACTTCTGGTAACAGGCCAGCGAAAAGCTGGAGGAGGATTTCCCAGGCTGTGAGTGGCAGGAGCGTCTGGGAGGAAAACAGCGTCTGGGAGGAAAACAGGTCTGTCTGCTCCGCTAACCTGAGAAGCCAGGTTAGGCTTCTAGAAAATTAGTCAAAAGAGGTGTGCGGCCGCTGTTTACTAATTGGCCTTTATTTTTTGGAAGAGTCTGGATTTCTTTTTTTCAATTCTATAAACTTTAATTTGTGAAATAATTTTATTTGAGGGGGAGGAATAGTGACTGATGGATGACAGGTAACACTTGAAAGTGGCTTTTGAATTGCTAGGATGGTATTTTATTATTTGAACAGGCTTCTCTGACTTGCATCAAACTCTGCCCTGAATGGGATACCAGGCAAGACTGACTGCCTTTGGCACTATTAGACATTTGATGAGCTTTAAAAATTTTGAAATTAACAATCTGTCTTATAAAATTTGGTCCAGAAAGAGTCATCTGTGTTTGTGAGATGATTTGGTTAAGTTTTTTTTAAAGAAACTGTCATTAGTATCTGGTTTTAAATTGAAAAGCACTGTAAGAAGTTTCTCCAAAATCACAGAATTTTGTGTATTATAAAACAAATATAATCTTATAGAGCAGTGGTTCTCAACCTTCCTAATGCCGCGACCCTTTAATACAGTTCCTCATGTTGTGGTGACCCCCAATTTCATTGTTACAAATTGAACATAATTAAAGCATAGTGATTAATCACAAAAAAGTATGTAATTATATATGTGTTTTCCGATGGTCTTAGGCGACCCCTGTGAAAGGGTCGTTCGACCCCCAAAGGGGTCGCGACCCACAGGTTGAGAACCGCTGTTTATAGAGGCTTGTCTGGGGAAGGAGTTCCCTGTTAACTAAAATTTCTTCTCTATCTTTTACTAGAAACTTCTTTTTCCTTATTCCACCACCAGGTTTCATGCTGGAGTTGTGAGCTTATAATTGGATTCCAAAATTTCAGATTCTTCAGCTGTGAAATCTTAGTTTTCTTTTCATCCAATTGTGGTCAGGGTAGGAAGAGCCACCGAACCATGGGAATTACTATTAAAGCATGTGTTGGGGGCTGCTACTAACATTTTGGGTAATAACTTTCTTTATAGGGCCATCCTGTCCTTTTGCAAAACATTGAGCATACCTGGCCCTGCCCACTAAATGCCCTCAGGAATTTCCAAATGATCTTTGTAGGGACTTGGGGAGTGGGGGGTGGGGGGGGGTACCACCTGGATGGAAAACCACTGCTTTAAGAATGTGATCTTTTATTCAAATAAAGTAATTAGTTTTTCCTGTGCAGTTTATTTGAGATGAACCTTCATATTTCCACGCTTCTGTCTCCCTTTTTGTGGGTAAGCCAGGGGGATCTTCCTTCCAGAACATCCCTCTTCCTCTCTTGTTCATTATTATAAAAAGACTCATTTCTATTTTGGAGCCTTTGAGTAAGGTCCGAGCAGTTTTTGCTTTTGTGTCATAAAGGCATAAGGATAAGGATTTTGGTGCGCAGTTGACTAGAAGCCTGGAAGTTGGTGCTCTTGCTTGTGTTTTGTTTTTTAAATAGTTTATTGATTATTTTTTAGAGAGAGAAACATCAAGGTTGACTGCCTCCTGCACAACCCCTACCAGGACCGAGCTCATACCCTGGGCATATGCCCTGACTGGGAATCGAACCAACAAACTTTCTGGTGCACCGAATGATGCCCATCCAACTGAGCCACACAGGCCAAGGCATCTTGCTTGTGTTTTCAGGGTGCTTTGGAACTCTTCTTGGGCACAGAATATAGATGTCAGTGAAGTAAGTGGTGGAGCTGGGATTGGAATGAAGGTCCTGCCAGAGTTAGACCTGGCTCTTAACCATTACACTCTACTGCAGTGGTTCTCAACCTTCTGGCCCTTTAAATACAGTTCCTCATGTTGTGACCCAACCATAAAATTATTTTCGTTGCTACTTTATAACTGTAATGTTGCTACTGTTACGAATCGTAATGTAAATATCTGATATGCAGGATGGTCTTAGGCGACCCCTGTGAAAGGGTCGTTCGACCGCCAAAGGGGTTGCGACCCACAGGTTGAGAACCGCTGCTCTACTGTCTCATCCTAAAGCGTAAGGAAACTGACAGGGTCCTGGAAATTGCACTGGCCTGTGAGTCAGATGACTGTGCTCATTTCCTGATAGAGCTACTAATTAACTGTCTACTTGTGGCCTTGGGCAAGTGAGTCATTTAGCCTCAGAGTCCCCATTTCTTCACCTGTAAGATGGGGTACTATCTATCCTGCTTACCTTGTTGGGTCTACTGAGATAGTGTTTAGAAAAGCCAAATAACATACAGATGGAAAGTGGTGTTCCTTTGGGGCACTTCTATAGTTCTCAGCCTTCTTTCATCTCAGAATTTGTTGGGCATTGAGATTTAGACTTGTGTGGACTGTTTCCCCAAAATGCTCTCTACTGAAATCTGACCTGAATTGATGGACAGATCATAATAATGAGTGCTATTGAGAAGAACTGCTTTATCGGATCAGAGTTAGAGAGTCCATTCCTTTCCACATTAAAATGTAAGTTTTGGCCGAACCGGTTTGGCTCAGTGGATAGAGCGTCGGCCTGCGGACTCAAGGGTCCCGGGTTTGATTCCAGTCAAGGGCATGTACCCTGGTTGCGGGCACATCCCCAATGGGGGGCGTGCAGGAGGCAGCTGATTGATGTTTCTCTCTCATCGATGTTTCTAGCTCTCTATCCCTCTCCCTTCCTCTCTGTAAAAAAATCAATAAAATATATATTTAAAAAAAATAAAATGTAAGTTTTGCTGTAAGGTGTTTCTAATAGTACCCCATTTATCTCAGAATATGGATTTCTAGATGTGGGGAAAAAACATAGAGGACCCACCATGTGGGAAGGAAGAGGTTGCCTGTTTTCTGGATCCTTCTATAAAATGGCTGGTCATTGAGGCTTTCACTCCAACTTGTTAGTCATTTGTATGAATACACATGTACATTCAGAAAAATCTAAGCTATTCTCTGTTGTCACCAAGCCATCAACTGGGGTTCATAGAAGGTGACTTTTCATAAGTCTTTAAACATGCTAGCAGGATGCCTCATTCTATTTTGCTGCCGCTCTAGGGTTCTCAAGTTAATTACTTTTCTCCATTCTTAAATAATTAGGGAGAGTTGCCAACTCTATTGGAGTGGACCAGAAAGCCTTTTTGTGCCTCACCATAGGTGTGCTAAAGGTAATGGTCCTTCACATGGTTTCTGAAGAAGGGAAAGCATTCTGTGGTCTCCAAAGAGAATGATGGGTCCCCTGCCCTGTAGAAGTTCTGTTTTTTTTAAAATATATATTTTTATTGATTTCAGAGAGGAAGAGAGAGGGAGAGAGAGATAGAAACATCAATGATAAGAGAGAATCATTGATCGGCTGCCTCCTGCACACCCCCCCATTGGGGATCAAGCCTGCAACCTGGGCATGTTCCCTTGACCAGAATCGAACCTGGGACCCTTCAGTCCGCAGGCCAACACTCTATCCACTGAGTCAAACCGGCTAGGGCTTAAGTTCTATTCTTAATGAAGACTTTTTCTTTTTTTAAATGAAGACTTTTTTTTAAAGCAGAGTTTGGATTTCTCTATTCACCATGAGGGCTTTTATTTTTTCTTTGACCTTTTCATAAAAATAAATGATTTTTAGAGAGAGGAAGGGAGAGAGAGAGAAAAGAAAGATAATTGTGAGAGAGAAACATTAATGGGCTGCCTCCCGCATGTGTCCTGACCTGGGATTAAACCTGCAACCTGGGTATGTGCCCTGGAATCGAATCCCCCACCTCCTTTTTGTGTATGAGATGATGTTCCAACCAACTGAGCCACACTGGCCAGGGCATAAGGGCTTATTTTCTATAAAATAAAAGAAGTTCCCCTGAGGAGAAGAGAATTTCTTGAAGTTCACAGTTAACTCTTACTCATTGGGGTTTGAAAGGTCTTGCAAAAAACAGAGATTTTTCACTCTTAAAGTGTTTGCTTTATGGGATGTGTACATTTTGCTACTAAACAAAGACACACCCCAAATATGTCACAAGGACTCTGAGCCAGGCCACTTTTAACCAAACAAATGCTACTCTAATACCTTTTG